TCTTTTTTCTTTTTCTCTTTTTTCTTTTTCTTTTTTCCTTTTTCTCTTTTTTCATTTTCTTTTTTTCTTTTTCTCTTTTTTAATTTTCCTTTTCTCTTTTTTCTTTTTCTCTTTTTTCTTTTTCTCTTTTTTCTTTTTCTTTTTTCCTTTTTCTCTTTTTTCACTTTCTTTTTTTTTCTTTTTCTCTTTTTTCATTTTCTCTTTTTTCTTTTTCTCTTTTCCTTTTTCTCTTTTTTCACTTTCTTTTTTTTCTTTTTCTCTTTTTTCATTTTCTCATTTTTCTTTTTCTCTTTTTTATTTTCTATTTTTCTCTTTTTTCTTTTTCTCTTTTTTCTTTTTCTCTTTTTTTTCTTTTCTCTTTTTTTTCTTTTTCTCTTTTTTTTTTTCTTTTTCTCATTTTTCCCCCCTCTTTTCTCAAGCAACACCTCACGGGACACCATCATCTTTACATGCCCAGCACGTGATACAAAAGCAACAACTAACCCTACACAAATAAAGGCAACCAACAAATCACATCTGGTGGGTTCTGGCTGAGGAACTGGACGTGCTCTCCTGCTTTGCTGAGGGCAAATGTTTCTGTGCTGCCCTTCAGAAGGTTGTTCACCAGGGAGAGAACAGAAGTGAGAGTTTAAAAAGCAGTTTTACAGAAGGGGAGAACAGGACTGTGAATTCAGAGACGCTGGGTGGGTCAGGCAGGTGTCAGCTCCCAAACCTGGCCCTTACAAACATCTCCTTCTGGCCACCGACAGCCCCTGCAAACTAAAACCTGAGGTGGTTATATTTAGTGCTGCAACATCCAGAAGAGACTTCTAAATGTCAAATATACCAAAGACTAAATCATACTGAAGCCTGCTGAAGTGTCCTGAAGCTTTTTAAGGGATTTACTTTAATAACTGGCTGTACAACTGCAGGCTGACTCGATCAAAAATGGGATATTGTTTAACTTGTGAATGGAAAATGCAAGTTAAAAACAAGTTTTGTGGTACAGATACCAACAACTGGAAATAATCTGGAAGAGATCCTTCCCTGGGAGGGTGGGGAGGCCCTGGCACAGGTTGCCCAGAGAAGCTGTGGCTGCCCCTGGACCCCTGGGAGTGTCCAAGGCCAGGCTGGACAGGGCTTGGAGCAACCTGGGACAGTGGGAGGTGTCCCTGCCCATGGCACGGGGTGGAATCAGTTGATCTTTAAGGTCCTTTCCAACCCAAAGCATTCCAGGATTCTCTGAAGGTCAGAAACAGAACTGATGGCAATAATTTGTGGTTTATATTCTCTTCTTAACCTTTCTGGATTTCTGGTACCTGTTCCACAAGTACAAGTTACTAAACCTTGGATTAAAAGGCTTAATTAGGGGGATTAAAACCCTCCCAACAAAATGCCCCAAACCCAAACCCTGCCCATCCCTCTCATCTTCCAGGTTGTGCTGCACCAAATCCCCACAACTGGCAGAGAAAGACCTTAAAAGAACTACTGACAGGACCTGGAAAGCAAGGTCTAATTAAGAGGAAATAGGGATTTTGAAGAGGCAAAGTGTGCCCAAGAGGCAAGCAAACCCTCAAACCAAAGGCAGAGAGAAAAGGGAAAACATTCCATAAGGAAGGTGACTTAATTCAACCTAAATGTGCAGCCCTTTAACACACCCACATTCTGTGCAAATGGAAAAATAAAACTACAATGAATAAATTGCAAGGAGGAGCCCAGAGTGAAAGGGAAATGAAGGAGGTGATTGTCTGAAAACACAGAATATCCCATGAATTCCTCCAGGCTCTGTGGACCCTCCTGGGTCAGCCCTGGTCATAAGTGAGAGCATAAAGGGCCTCAGGGCTCGAGGGGCTTCAGAGGGAAGGGCTAAGATGCCAAAAGCAAGCAGAAATATTAGAAGGAAATTAAATACTGAAAGGAAATATCAAAAGGAAAGCAGAAATAAAAAAGGAAATATGCTAAAATCATCAAGTATAAACCACACAGGCAGTTTTATAAACATAAATACCATGTAAAAAAAAAGCTTTGTGACTTCAAAAAGGCCTCTCTGCAGTGTCAAGAAAAGGTGTGTGTTGCCAGGCCTGTCTGTTCCCACCAGGATGGGCCCTTTCAGGCTGGGCTTTGTGGTTGCCCAGAGCAGCTGTGGCTGCCCCTGGATCCCTGGAAGTGTTCAAGGCCAGGCTGGAAAGGGCTTGGAGCAACCTGGGCCAGGGGAAGGTGTCCCTGCCCATGGCAGGGGGTGGAACGAGACGAGCTTTGAGGTCCCTCCCAACCCAAAGCACTTTATGATTCCAAGCAAGCCAGTGGGACCAGGGGGAGACCTGGCCAATAATCTGGGAAATGAGACCTGGCCAATAACCTGGGAAATGAGACCTGGCCAATAACCTGGGAAATAAGACCTGGCCAAAATTCGGGGAAATGAGACCTGGCCAAAATTCTGGGAAATGAGACCTGGCCAAAA